AGCAGATGGAAGTCTGGGAAGGTCGTCAGAGGACCAGCAAGACACAGCAGCAGCAGTAGTAGCACCAGGGCCACTCTGGACCCTAAAACTAGAGATTCTAGTATTACACAGGATCATAACCTATATTTCACTACCGACATCCATCTAATCCCAGAGAGTGGGTTTTAATGGAAAGAAAAGGCATGTTTTTTTCTGAAAGCGATGGAAAAAAACAGATGACTGACGAAGGAAGCTGGCTTGTTAGATCCCAACACAACGCAGAGGGAAAAGCACTTACTCAGGATGCTGAAATGCACTGCAGGAGTCAAATTTTATCATGATTCAGCTAAACTTTTGCAGGTGTGTAAGCAAATTTAAATTCAGAAATGATGGAGCTGGACTTCACCTATATATATTATATTCCAATGTCATTCTATTGAGAACTTGAATAACCTACTAACTCTGAAAAAGCATATTGATATAAGCCGGTTATCCTGTTCCCAAAGCAAGCTGGGGAGCCTCGTATTAGGGATTAAGGATTCAGCCGTCAACATACGCCTGTGATTAATTTGATCTTTCATAGGTTAACTCGTAGCCCAGTTAGACTGGCTCTAAGGCAAGTTCACCTCATATCTGTACTTTGGCAGCTTAGAAAAGCAATATCCAATACTGAAAGGTAGAAGAGTTTAGAAATATTTAATCATACAATAAAAAATATGATCATCACCTCTACAGTACAACTCCACTCACAAACAGAAGGAATCAAATTGATTCCGAGGCCATTTAGCTTGCATCTGGGAAATAAATCAGCACACTTATTACTTGTGGTTGGCTGCTGGGTGAAGCTGTGGGCATTATTTACAACCTCCCCACAGATGATGACAGTTAATAAACTGAGCATGCCAGCACGTAGGACGGGGAGCTTTTCTATTATTCAGCAAGTCCTGTCTGAGTCCCATAGAAGCCATCACAACCTGGCAGGCCGTCGCTGAGTGGCGGACTGACAGGTGGGTATCCTGTGGGAGAGGCTGGCAGATGCATTATCAAATCTCAAATTCATTTTCAAAATGGGGTAACATCTTCCCCATAACAGGACTGCAACTACCGGTGGGGTAAATGACCACATTAAAAAAACAGCATGATAATTCCTCTATATCCTCTAGAGCAATCTTTGTTTGGCAAAAAACATATTTGAGATCATCGGGTGGTTATTGAAAGCACTGAAAATAAGGCTAATTATTAACAGGATTGTTCACTACACCCTGCGTCCTTATTTACTGTCGCTAAACCTGTCAAGTTTTCTGTCCTCACACAGCGCATATGCAGTTTATGGTGGTGCAACAGATTTACCACTCGAAATTTTTGGTCTTTTTTTTTTTACTATTTTCCTTCATTTAAGGCAGATGTAGACAAAATTCGGTTTGTCATGTCTAGCTGGCCACCATCAATTTTCTCATTGAAATTTCCAGCATATTTTATCAGCTGTAGCTCACTCGTTAGGCTAACATTAGCTCAACGGCTTGGTAGAAAACACCATCTCTGCTAACGTTTTTGTTTTTCCAGCCCGCTAGTTTAAAATGAAAACGTAAAAGGGATCTTTAATATGCATTAGATGGCTACATACAAGATATCGTGCTAAAGAGTAAAGCGTAGACCTAGTTGGTCCAATTACTATTGGTACGATAAGGAAAAAATGTAAGATCAGACATAACATATCAGTGTTTGAATGTTTACATTAAATACTTTTCTTTGTATTTTCAAACATGATTTCACTTTTAACATTACAAGAGAAAAGGCTTTTAGGATAAGCGACCTGTTTGGTAAAGATGGCGATGGTTGCTGGAGTGTAAACTTCCCTAAATCTAATGAAGAGCAGGACAGAACATTACCTTACCCTCAGCTTCCACACAGTGGGGAAAAACGACAGTGAATGTGCTATTATGAAATGTTTTACCTTTAACCCCAAAAACTAATGTAGATTGAAAATAATGTGATTCTTTGCCTTATGCTGGAGCAAATAAACACTGTTTAATCATACCTTTGCTCTTGTTTTTTTGGTGACACCACCCTCCAAACTCTTTAAATCGCTCTTACCACAGCTCCATGCACACTGTTTCAACATGTGGAGAAATCCAAAGCTTGACAGGTCTGCCGTGCCTAGTTACAGTTGCTAAGCTACGATTGGATAATTGCTTTTCAGGGGAGGGTTTAAACAGACTGTCAATTGAAAAGTGATGAATTATCCTTTTAGTCAGTTAATGTGCGTACACATTTCACCCCAATAATAGTTTCTTCACAGATAACAGTATTTGTAATGAAGGGAGGACTGTTAATGTGACAATGAGGTGTTGTCTCTCTCTTCAGCTCACTGATCCATGCATGGTGAAAACAATTTTTCAGGAAGGGAAGAAAAATATGCACAAAGTGTTTATTTTTCATCCATGATCTCAATCACTTTCAAGTTTTTCTCAACTTGAAAATCTTTTGCCACTTCTTGGTGTAAATAGCTGACCAGATGTTCTCACTTGCTTCCTAGCAACACAAACAGACTTTTATTTCTCTCTCTATATATCGTCCATCCATGAAAAGCATGTCTTTCCCAGTTAGGTGATTTTTAAAATAAGTCAAAGGATTACAAGCTCCTTTGTCGGCTGAGAAAATTACTCTTCTTCTTAAGGCTTATAAAACCCTTTCAAACCCCTTTGGATTATCTTAAAAATGCATTGTCACTAAGCTTATATTGAGACTGTTCCTCTTTCTTTTTGTTTTGACATTTTGGAGAAACTTGGTTTTCACTGGAAAACAATGTTATGTTACAGTACCTCATGTACCATTTTAACTACTTTCATTTTTTATAATGTTAAAAACATCTTATTTACACCTCTAAATTTAGGTGGACTTGCAGCAGGTTAAAGAAAGTATTTCAAGTTGTCATGTAGTTATTAAGGATTAAGGGTTATTCTGAGTTAATGAATAAGCCAAATGCAAACTGGATGCCAAAACCCCTGGGGTACATTGTGGCACCCTCCAGCTACTATTTCTTTAATCAATAACAAAAATGAATGTATGTGTACTTGTATTTATCAAGATGTAAAGCAAAGTACAGATCCAAGCATTTGGCTTTTTCATTTTTAAGTTTTGGTGTCATAAAAATGTAGTTGGAATTTGACATCTTGTTCAAATCAAGTTGAACAATTATTGGACACTGTGTTCTAGGAAAACACGGTGTGCCACATAGAAACATCTGCCTTAGCCTCTGGCCAAACAAAAACCAACAACAACAACTAAAACTGCCCGACCATATGGCGGAGCTTGCATTTCCCTGGAAATGGAAATTGGATCAGTCGCAAAAAATGAATGGTAATTCAACCAAATTGTACTGCATGCCATAACTACCATTACAGCTGCTCATTTCTAATCTTTTCTGGTCTTGATAAAATTCTAAAAACCTTATTTACTGTGGGAGACTTGCTGCTGCGTGAAATGTGCTCTGTCTAGTTTGTTTAGAAGCCCAGAAATATTTAGGGACTCTGTCTTTTTGGCTCACAAACACTTTTGATTTGTTATGGTTCTCTGAAAACCGGCACTGGTTGTTACTTGTTGGAGCAGACAGGAAAGATGTAACTTGCACGTGCACGGCTGGCACTGAACACACTGTGCTTATCTGCTTATAAGGAGGAACAACAGCGCAATGAGTGTGGACAATGATGATTCATGAGAATAGGAAGTTAAACTCATTAGGGAGTAAAGTGATACTTCTGGTCACTTTCTATCCTGACATCTGGCCTTCTTGAGGTTTGAGTCACTCACAGTACATGTTGAATATATTTAAATATTTTTATTCATTAACATCTAATTTAACCATGTGATGCAGGACCTTTCCTGTGCTTATTTTGTCGGTCAAATATCACTTGTGCTTGTAGTGAGGTGTTCATGTAGACCATCTCAGCTATTAGAAGAAAGATGGGAAGAAATCATTGAAGTCAAAACACTGTCATATTATTAAAAAAAAAAAAAAGATTTCTGTGGCCTTTACTTCAGGGCCAAAAGAATGCACTAATACAAGCAGAACAAGAGAAACCAAGAAACCTGTTCCTATACTTCAACACTTGTTTTCATACTTTCATCAGCCTCACTTCATACCAGACGTTCTGCTTTATATCATTTGTGGGATGAAGTGACTGTCTTCACATTTTGATCTAATTTCCTTTGAGGACCAGATGCAAACTGGGGACATCATTTTTTTGTTCTCTTTATGTAAGAGGATGCGTAAATACACCGTTAACAGCAAGGAAGGAAAAAGCAAATGAGAGAATATGGCAACGTCTGTCATCTGCAAGGTTTTGTGTGTTTAGTTAATAAATGTGTCAAACGGGCTTTTAGTGCGTGTTTCAAGGCAAAACCAGCATCGTCCTGACTTTATATTCTTGGGATACAAATAGGTCAAACACTGCGTATAAAACGCTTAAGGCAGAAATGCTCACACTACACTGCTCCCCCCAAAAACATCCAAAATAGTCAAAATAAAAGTGAAAAAAGAAACCTTAAAAAGGGACTAAAAAATAAAGTATGTCAGTAAATTTCACAATCCACATCCCCTCCATGCATCATCATCATCATCATCAATGTGGTTCAAATTTGCTTACTTTTCACACGGGATCTGTACGCTGATGCGTATTTTTGCGCAGTTTTTCCTAATTGGCCAATTAATCAGAACTTTTCCCGCAACTTTGACCGCGACTGTATTCGTGACCCCATGACTAACCCCCATTGATACTGAAAGCTAGACTTTATTGGAGCCTCTCTGTGTTAGCTTTTACCAGCTCACACAGACTGACCACAGAGACAGTGAGAAACTTTTTCTCCCACGCTGGATTTAAAGTTTCTCTGCGGCTCTGTGATTTTTCTTTCTGTGAGGTTTTCTGTAAATGTTTGGGACGAGGAAAAGACGGAAAGCGAAAGCCCCAGCTTGGCATTACAACCCAGCCACGTACAATGTTGTAACAGCTCCCCTGACATACCTTTCTTTTCCGCCAGAACACAGCAGCCCCAGCACAGCACAGAGGTGAGACTGATCCACTTCAGAAAACGGGTTGCCATCGTGGTTTTTGAAGCTCCTGGGTGAGAGAGGGGTGTCATTCCATGCCGACAACACGCGGTATTCCGCTTTATCAAAACTTCAAAATCTTTAGGGTTGTTTTCTTTCTCTCTCTCTCTCTCTCTCTCGTTAAGTGAAAGACTTTTCCTTCTCTGGGAAACTTTTGACCGCTCCTCCTCCTCGCGCAGATATCTCCAAGCAGACAGTGCTAGTGCAGCGCGAGGACACGCTACTGGCTGCTCTGACGTCAGCAAGAGGGAGGATAGAGGCGCCTCTCGAAGAGCTCAGGTAGAGGCAGCGTGCATGAGTTTTAGATTAAAAAACAACAACATTGTGCACAGTGTTATATTGTTGCTGTTGTTGTTGTTGTTGTTGTTTTTAGATGCATTTATGAATAAAGTGAAGGGTCGAAACATCCCCCCAAAAAAGAAAACCCCACAGGAGCTATATAGCTGTGAAAATTGCTGTCAAACCAGTTGCTGTCAGTGATGCACTGATAAGCTGGATAAACTTCCTTCGGCAAACAAAAATCAGTTCTTGCTGAGGGCATGATTTTATGGTCTGTTTTCCCTAAAATGATTCAGCTGAGATGCAGGAGGCTCAATGAAGGTGGAGATGGGAAAGGTCATCCAGATAATTTTACTAGACCTCAACTTAGATATGTTAGGGTTTAAAAATTGTATGATACAACCAGTATATTTTTATAGTAACATTTTTATTAAGTAACCCTTGAATTTAGTTATTAATGTCTTGCCACCTATCAGAATACTCTGATATTGATATATGAAAAATGCAGTTAGAAAGGTGGATTAGTAGAAGAGGAAGAAGAAGATATACTTTATTAATCCCCTAGGGGAAATTGTTCTTTTCACTCTTTTTTTATACACACACACACACACACACACACACACACACACACAGGCTGAAATACACACTTTCATGCACTTGTGGACATGCAAACAGGGAGAGAGATGGTGGAGTGATTACATGTGTTTATCTGGGTGTCCCTCTCTTCCTGCTTTTAATGCTCAGTAGAGTGAGTCTTAAGTTGCCCTTGGTATAGCGCTCTGAGGATTTTCTATAGGGAATTAGACTTTGATGTGACTTTGTCCCTTTGTGTATAAAAAGAGAAACAAAATAATGATGACATGTTTTGATTAATTTGCAGTATTGCGTTGCTGCAGGAAAAGCACAGGTGTAACTAAATACATTAATAGTTCAGTTCTATTAAGTGTCCCAGTAGTAAGCATGCGTTATATCAGGACGCTGGAACAGGCACAGCTAAATGGAATGGAGTCATTTATACTGTTATTAATTAAACCTGCTCTTTCCCGCTATGTCCTGTCAAAATATCTACAATGAAAAAAGCCTTGTCGGTGTTATTTAGACAAAAGTGCTCTCTGAAGACTAAAAGGCTTGAAGAAACTGCACAAAAAGCTGAGATGTTGAGTTTTTGTCACTTACCAATACACCAAAATCTGACGTATGAAGTGTTCTTGGAGCTATTTTAGGTGAACACCTAGATATAGAAAGTTAGAGAAAAGGATGATGATGACTCATCCGGGATGTCAAACTAACTTCTGGAGGTTTGGTTAAATTTTGCCCAGCCCAGCAAAGCTCAGCGGTAAGGTCTGGCAACCCTAAAAATCACCTTTTCACCCTTTTTTATTTGTTGATGTGCATGTATGAAAGATAGTAGTCAGTAGCAATGTCATACTGGGGTTGAATGGACAGAAAGTCTAGACTGTTGACAGAGTGTCTGTCTGATTGGAGCCGAGTCTAATTGGATGTCAAGCTGCTTAAATGTGTTTGCTGTTGTACACAGATCAGACTCTATGGGGACAGGAGTGATAGAAATCATTTTTCACACTGGTGTTTATTTCATTACCACAGCCTAATGGCTCAGCAAATCGTCTTTGGTTGTACTGTTGGAGGAAGAGGTTATTGTGTTGGGTGAAATTATGACCATTTTCCTTGAGGAGAAATTACCTAATGTGAGGCTAACGTTTCACATGAGACAGCCCAGCTATTTTCAGTGTGCTGTGGACGTGGTGCAACTGTCAGTTTGACTGTTCTGTGTGCTTACATTGGGAAACAGAAAATAAATCCATGGCCTTTGTCATTTAAGTCAGGAGGAAAACGGTAACTGAAGGAGCACCAATAATGTGAGAGTTATTCTGTTCACAAGGTTACATGCTTTAAAATGGTCCAGTTCTCTAAAAGAGGATCAAGGGAGGTCAAATATTGCAGTTTTACCTTTGAGTGAAAATACAAATGTCAGCTTCGCTTCAGGGTCATATATTTAAATCTGACTCAGGTTGCTTTTAAATGTTTTGAAACCAAGGTTTGCCACATATTGGGCCACAATGGAGGCTTGTTAAAACAGAAAAGGGAAAGAAATCACCTCGGCCTCTCACCAGTGGCCGATTTCTACACCACTAGTCAACGTCTCAATTATGAAATGTTCCACAGTAAGAAAGAGTCCCAGTTGTTCCAGTGTTAGATATCGCCATCCATCGCCGTTGAATATTGCACAGGCCTACCAAGAGCCTCACACCACAGCTGTCTGTCAGCCAAGCAGAAACACTAAACAAACACAGAATAATGGCCGGACCGCTGGGGATTCAAAAGAGACAGTATAAAAAAAAAGAACCAGAGAGGAAAGAAGAAAGTGTGTGAAAGAGCGAGACGGGAGATGACAGATACTGGCTGGCAAAGTAAATACATGTCCCACCTTGCAATACCCTCACATTTTCCATCTCTTAAGCTCAGTAAGTTCTGGTATTCAGTACCTGAAGGACATTTTGGATATGCAGTATGTGTTAATCAGTGCAGCTCACATTTGAGACTCACATTCTTTCAGGTAAAAGCCAAACAGTATAAGACTTCTAGGAGGATAGGAGTCTTATTAAGTGGTTAAGTGAGGTGGAGCGGTTATGTGACCGTGGTGTGAGTGGGAGATGACTCGTTACCCTGCAGGTCTGAAGTCTGATCTGCATGACAGGGTCCAGATGGACTAGCAACATCTAAGTCCAATTTAGGAAAACATGCATGGGATAAGTACCAGCCCCCACCAACAACATGACAAGAGAGAGCTGGAATGAATATCATCATAACATACGGGATCATATAGTATCACTCAAAGCCAGTATCTGACTTCACTCTATAGCTGTGTTTCGGAAAATAAAATATCAGCCATGAGAATAAGTAGGGCTGGGACAACATTACGTCACAATATGATTTTGAAAAACTGTGATGAAAGTGAAAAAGAAATAAAGAAAAGAAATAAAGTTTTGGGACCTTTAATCCAATGTGTGGATACTTTCTGCTTTTCCTTCTACTAAATCTGCTTTCTTGCTCGTAAACTCAACTCAACACTATTCATGCATAGCTCCTTATATGCAGAAGAGTTGATCCAAAGCACTTTAAGTATTCAATTATTGCTCAGATGAACAAATAATGCATGACGCCTGAAACAGATCCACCAAACTGTTTCCAAAATGAAATGTTCAATTTCAGACATCCTTGCTGTGAATCTCTGCACTGTTTTAGGCACGTGTCATGGCTGCCATATCTCTGACATGTGAGATAAGACTTGGATTAGATGTGACTGAATCCATAAAAGCTTTAATAATAGCTTTCTAAATCCTGTTTTCAGCGGTATGGCTAAAAAGCCTTAGGCATTCAGAACACACTGTCAAGTACCAATTAATTAGGTTTAATTAGAGAAGCCAGTGAGATTACCTTGTATCTCACCATCTGCCCCCCCACCCCCCACCCACCCCAAAGGAAAGTCTCCATCTGCCAAACATAAATAGTAAAGGCAAATATATGAATGTGTGAATGGATTCTTGTTTTTTAATAGTGAGTATACACACACACGTACACACTTTGTTTTCTTTTTCTATGAAGAGCGATAAAACCTGTGCATGTCTTACTTCTCTGTGTTTCACCATTTCCTGGTGAGGCCCCTGGTCTTTTGGCTCTGAGCCATGCTTACTTGCCAGAGCATGTGGTCTCCATGGCAGCCCATTGGGTTACACAGTAAACACCTAAAGGTAAATGAATGAACCTGTTTTAATAGGAATCCATTTCTCAACTTCTCAACCAGTCACATCCTGTTTCATAACATAGAACACCTTGTTCACAGTTATGAGTAATGAGAATAATTTCGTTTGGTGTCTCTGTGTGATCAGGTCTGTGTGTGGCATGCTACGCATATAATAATAGTAATTAATTTCATTTTTTGAGCACTACAAAAGTTATTTCAAGAATTTATTTAAGTTTTATTTTTCACATAATAACAAAATAAAATAAAATGTGTGGCTAACCTGTTGGGATAAAGTATTACAACAATTAGAAAATATAAATATATATATATATATATATATATAATAATATATATATAAAAGAGAAAAATTCTAAGATAAAAATATGAATGTTTGTAACAGTTATAACTGTGTATTATTATAACAATCATTATTATTAAAAGATTTATGACAGGAGCAGTTGCCAGTATTTTCTGAAGCATGTTTTGAGGATGTTTAAAGGATTATAGATTCTCCCTCACTGTAGTTGCTGCAATCTAAGTGTTCCCTGGTCATGTAGGGAACACACTCAAACATGTTGCTTTTATGATGTGCTTGGACAGTATACAATTCTATCATTAAGGTCACAAGAGTTAAATCTCATTAAGGTGACTTTAATGGGGCCCTTATGGTCTATGGAGCTTTGCACTGACTGAAGTGGTTTGGTGCTGACTGTGGCGCAGTCGGGGTGAAGGTCTGCATTCCCAACACTGGTGCCACGACTCTCTTTTGGTAAAGGGTGGCACATTCCGCCAGATCCATTCAAATCAGCGATGAGAAAGTTCCCCGAACTACAGGAACCTATGAGTCATTCACAAGTGGGAATAAAGAGATCAAAGGATTGACCGTTAGCAAACTGGCTGCAGACTTTGGATTGGACCAGGGTCACAAAAAAACTGCCAAGCCACAAATGTGTCAGCTTGGCAGATGATGTTCATTCCAACTCTCTTTTATACAAGTGATTGATAGAATGAGCTCATGGATGTAATCAGCTAACATGTAGATTTATCTGCAGGTATAGCCATCAGGTTCAGAGCCAGGATCCACACCTCTTTTTTTTAAATACTTGGTCCATTGACAGAAGATTACAGGACACGAGACACAGTGTAAGGCTTACATTTTAACT